AAACCACTGGTAACTTTTACCTCCTGTGACTGACTGCAGAACTGCTACCTTTCCACACTGGGGGGCCTCGGGGCGATTCAGGAATCAAAGACTTGTCATTCTGACCTCACGTGCTTCCTCTTCCCAAACCATACCTTTCAGTGAGGCAGGGCTGACCCAGTGAATCCCATTTCTGATGCCAAATGAAAAGGCAGGGGACAGTCCACACTTGCCCTCACTTCTGACACCAACTGCAGATTTGGGGACCTCTATGATCATCCTCATTTCTGAAATCATTTGCAAGTTTTGGGTCCCCAAGACTACCCTTAGGTTTGGTAATTTGCTAGACGTGCTCACAGAATTCACTGAAAGCCGTGACACTTATGGTTAGTGTTTATTACAACGAAAGGATACAGGTAAGAACCAGCCGAGGGAAGAGGCCCACAGGGCAGAGTCCAGGGAAGTTCCATATACAAAGCGTCCAGGTGTCCTCTCCCTGTGCAGTCACGGAAAGCACGACTTCACGTTCCTGGTGGTGACATGTGACGATACACACAGAGCACTGCCAACTAGAGCCGCTCACCCCGGCCGGGCGTCCGGTTTCTGTTAGTCCTCCATCACGCAGGCATGGTCGACCTCCCTGTGGCTGATCTTGTATCCAGCTCCTCCTGAAGTTGAACGGGTACCACTTGCTCCAAAGCTCCTATTCTAAATCTCGCGGTTAGACCATCTGGTATGGCCAGCTCCCACTCCAAATCACATTGTTGAAATCGCCTAGTGTGGCCAGCCCCTGCTCCGAATCACACTTTTAGACACACAGTGTGATGCAAGGAAGGCCTGGGCAAAACAAAGGCACTCCTACCAGGCATGGCATTCCGAGAACTTAGAGAGGATCTCCCAGGAGCCAAGACTTCTCTTCAGGCAAAGTCAAATCCCTTATTACACAGAAAGATAAATGCCAAATTCAAGACAGCAATTACCTCTAAGATTGAGAGTGGCAGACGTGTTTGCGGAAGGGAGCACGTGGGGGTAGTGTTCTCAGTTTCAAGCTGGACAGTGGATATAATGCTCCTGTTATATGATTTTTATGCCTTTCTATACGTCTGAGATATTTCATAATATTTAAATGAAAATTGGATCATTTGTCATTTATGTAAAAGCTTTTTATGTGTGTATTATATGTAAATATATACCTATATATTCATATATAATATATTCATAAATATACATACATGAGGGAATAAAACAAAGATACAGAGATCTGGAAGGAGGTATAAGTTGATACCAGTGCTTACCTATGGGTAAAGCAGTAGTTAAGGAAAAGATGAAGTAGAATTTTCAGTATTTTTAATTTCCAGCTTTATTGAGGTATAATTGACAAATAAAAATTATATATATTTAAGGTATACAACATGTTTTGACATATGTACACACTATGCAATAGTTACTACAATCTAGCAAATCAACGTAATCATCAATTCACACAGTTAACCTTTTTTAGGTGTGGTGAGAGCACTTAAGATCTATTCTCTTGGGTTCCACATCTACTCGGCATCATATTGGTACTGACTGATTAAAACTATGGCGCTCAAATGGTGGTAGTGCTCACCAGGGATTCGGGGGTGGGGGGGACCCACATCCTAGGGATGCGGTGAGCATTGTGGGAGGGAAGGGAATGCCTCTAACCCTTCTTAGGGAGAGGCAAAGATATACAAGGTAACCAAAATGTCAAAAAAAAACAAAACTTTTATTGGGTAGCAGGTGGGGGGAGGAGGGGAAGGGTATATATTTACATAATGGGTGTGGTGCTCACCACCTGGGGGTTAGACACACTTGAAGCTCTGGCACGGTGGGGGGGGGCGTGGCAGGGGCAATATATGTAACCCTAACAATATCTGTACCCCCATAATATAATGAAATAATTAAAAAAAAGATCTATTCTCTTAGCAAGTTTCAAGTATACAGTACAGTAGAAGTAACCAAAGTAACCATAGTCACCAGGCTGTACATTAGAGCTCTAGAACTTGCTCATCCTGCCTAACTGAACCTTTGCACTCTGACCAACACCTACCCATTCCCCCTACCTCTCAGTCCCTGGCAACCACCATTCTACTTACTCACTGCTTTTATGAGTTTGACTTTTTTAGATTCCACATGTGAGATCATGTTGTATTTTTCTTTCTGTGTCTGATTTATTTCACATAGCATAATGTCCTCCAAGTTGATCCATGTTGTTGCAAATGGCAGGATTTCCTTCTTTAAAGGCTGAATAATATTTCATTGTGTGTGTGTGTGTGTATGTATGTGTGTATAGTAAGTCCTCACTTAACACCATTGATAGGTTCTTGGAAATGGGAACTTTAATGAAACAATGTACAATGAAATAAATTTTACCATACAAGAGGACATCAGCAAACTCCACACAGACAGCGGCCCCAGCTAAGAATCAATTTTTTTTTTTCCTTATCAATGTTATAACAAAATGATGTTGAATGAAATGGGATTATTTGAGAAACTGCTGTATGTGTTATATACATTTTCTTGCCATTCATTCATTGTGTATATGTGATATATACATTTTCTTGCCATTCATTCAAGAAATGTGATATATGTGATATATACATTTTCTTGCCATTCATTCATTGATGGATACTTAAGTTGGCACCACATTTTCCCTATTGTGAATCATGCTGCAACGAAGATGGGAGTGCAGATATCTCTTCAAAATACTGATTTCATTTCCATCAGATACATACCCAGAAGTTGGATTGCTGGATCATATGGTAGTTCTATTTTTAATTTTTTTAAAGGAAACTCCATACTGTTTTCCACAATGACTATACCAATTTACATTCCCACCAACAGTATAGGAGGTTTCCTTTTCTCCATATCCTCACCAATACTTGTTATCTTTTATTGTTTTGATAATAGCCATTCTAATAGGCATAGGTGGGATCTCACTGTGGTTTTAATTTGCATTTCTCTAATGATTAGTGATGTTGAGCATTTTTTTCATACTCCCATTGGCTATTTGTATGTCTTCTTTTGAGAAATGCAAGGCATTTCAGGGCCTTGCTCATTTTTCTAATCAGGTTTTTTTTTTTTTTTTTGCTATTGAGTTGTTTGAGTTTCTTATATACTTTGTATATTAACTCCTTATCAGATCTATGCTTTGCAAATATTTTCTACCATGATGTAAGTTGTCTCTTAATCAGACTTGACTGTTTCCTTTCCCATGCAGAAACTTTTTAGTTTGATGCAATCTCACTTGTTTATTTTTGCTTTTGTGGCCTGTGCTTTTGCAGTCAGTCATGTCCAAAAAGTTGTCCAGACCAATGTCAAGAAGACTTTTTCCTATGTTTTCTTTTAATAGTTTTACAGTCTCCTGTCCTATATTTACATCTTCAATCCACTTTGAATTGATTTTTGTATGTGGTATTAAGGAAGTGTCCAATTTCATTCTTTCGCATGTGAATGTCCATTTTTCCTTAGAATTTTTGGTTTTTATTTAGCCACGGTTCTACTGGCAACTAGGTAGGGTTGGTAAGATATGCAAGAAAAGATCTGCAAATTGCACAGCATGTGAGTTGCAGATATCTTCAGCTACGACCTTATGTGATACACAGTATACTTAGATTCTTCCTGGAAGTTGACCAGAAGGCAGAAGACTAATCTTTGCCTCCACTTCCTGGGAGATTCTAGGTAAGCCATTTCCCTCACTCTCAGCCTGCTTCAGAGATTACAACTTTGTGTAGCCTCGCTGGATTTGACCCATAGATAGAATTTGTTTGGCCTACTAAATGCTTACTTTTAAAAGTTAACTTTTTTACGGGATAACACTTAAAAATCAGGACATTTCATTTAAAAAATCCAGACATCCAGCTTCTCTCTTTTTTCTTTAATTCAAGTCAAATCACCCAGGTGTGAAGGTTAGTTGTATTATAACATGCAAGCTGCTCACGTCTCCTCAGGCCTGTTCGCTCATTTGCAAGACGTGGGTGGTGACAGCACCCATCGTGCAGGGTTGTGGTTAGGATTCAATGAGTTCATAGGGCAGAGCCTCACGTATGGTAAGCACTTGATAAATGTTAGTTACTGTTTATTAAATCACCTGCTTTCTCTTGTTAGCATTTGATTTGGGGCCGCTCTTGACGGCCTCTAATCCCTTCCCAGTGTTCTGGAACTCGTCCTTTCCTTTCCTATTCTGTGTTTCTGCATGCTTTACAGGACCCCTCGGAGTGGTCTCTCTGCCCTCGCCCTTAACCTCCATGTGTCAACGCTGATTGCCCTTTCCCTTCTCTCATAACAAAGATGCTGCCCAGGCCACCAGGGCATGACGTGCTTCTCTCCTTCACACTGCACAACCACCTTCTTTTTACATTGCCATTTTTAACTGCCCCTTCTCCAATTTAAAGCCTCGTGTTGGATGTTGGCATGGGCCCTGCCTGGGTCCCGGCCCAGGCTTTAACAGTAAACCGCAGAATAACCTTGGTCAGTTACTGCCCCCTCTCTGGCTTTCCTTTTATCTCCTCATCTATAACATAAATGGGTTTGTTGCTGAGATCCAAGGATCAGTCTATCTGGAAAACTCTCATTTCTTCTTGCTCCTCTCTGCCAGGCTTTAGAACATACATGGGATGCCTCCTCACGCACCCACTTATAATTTTCTCGGACCTTCACTCAGCTTTACCTTCCACCTGTGTGTTTCCATAGCAGGGTGTGAGTGATACCAAGGTGTTTCCAATTTTCTAAGGGAAGGACTGACTTAGAAATGACTGACCTACTCAACCTAATGGAAAAACAAATTTTGTAGGGAAACTGATGACGACAGACTGTTCAACTGATTAACTGGCACACACGGGATAACTGTGTGACTAAGGCCTGAGCGTCTTAGAGGGGACTAAACTAAGAGGCTTAGTGGGAGCCTAGTTAACCGATGAGCAGGGCAGGCTATCAAGGGGCAGATTATCTGATGAACTGATTTACAAGGCGATTAACCACTGACTCATAAGGACACTCACCTGATCCTTAACCGACAGTCCGCTATTGGTGGCCGGAGACCCACTGGCTGTCCTCCGCGCTGGCCGGGTGACTGGCGCGGCAGCGACGGGCCGATGGGCTCACAAAGGGCTCCTGGCGACCTGACTGCCTGGTCCTCAGTCTCCCCGTCTGGCGGATCCAGAATTGGTCTCTGTCCAACCAAGGGGCTCGCGGGGACCTCACAGCCCGGAGAGCCCGGCTGGCGGCCTAACCGACCTGTGGCTGCCTCGCGTTCCCAGGCCAGCAGCAGTCCTTAGGAATGAGGCGCAGGGAGGGCGGCGCGAGGGGCAGGACAGTCGCGCCGGGTCTCGCCCATCTGCCTCGCGCGGTGCCCGCATCTACGCTGCAGCCAATCAGCGGCCGCACAGGTCTATTCCATAGCCAATCAGCAGCTGCACAGGTCTATCTGTAGCCAATCAGCGGCCGCACAGGTCTATTCCATAGCCAATCAGCAGCTGCACAGGTCTATCTGTAGCCAATCAGCGGCCGCACAGGTCTATTCCGTAGGTGAGGCAGGTGGAGCTTGGCACCCATGAGTTAAAATGCTTAACGAGCTAATTTTGTATTTGCATGTGAGTCATGATTTTACCCTTGTTAGGAAAAGTATCCTGTAATAGAATAAAATGAAGACATTTGTGTTCGCCTCTCCGCGTGCATTTGCTGCGTGGCGTGTGCCACGTTCAAGGCCCTAGAACAGGCCCCTCTGTTCCTGGGCCAAGTCAGAGGGACCTTGTGACATCCGGGCTCATCTTAAGGATTTTGCCTGTTTCCTTTTGGGCAACTGGGAGCCCCTAAAGGGAGCAGAGAAGTGACACCACTGGGTGTTCAGAATTCTCTCTATGTCCTCTGTGGAGAGCAGGATTGGAGGTGGGCAGGGAACAGGTAGGAGGAGAAGTTTCCTTAACTGTGTGTTGAAATCTCCACCTCGGAAAATGAGTTCCAGGGGCATCTGTCCCGAGCATTTAGGACTTGCTTTGCACACAGTAGGTGACAAATATGTGTTGATGGACAGGCTTACCAAATCCCCAGTAAGGTATACACACAAGTATCCACACATGCAGGATCTTGCAGGAAGTACTGCTTTAATTTTGGTAAAGAAAATACTGCATACCTATCTCTGCCTTTCCTTTCCCTGCCTTTGCGCGTGCACAACCAGAGGAAATAGTTTCGGAGACCAACCCTGAAAGGCGAGTAGGAGTTTGTTTTTCTGTGTAGAGGCAGGGATAAATTAGCAAAGTGCTTCCCTGGTGGACCGAGGTGGGCCAGGAGTGGGGAGAGAGGTTCGGGAGATAATGGCCATGTCTTCCCCATCTGGCCCTTCCTGTTGGGCTCCCATGTCCAGGATCTTCTGTCCTGAGGAGGAAAGGAACTCCAGTTGTTCTCCTCCCTCCTTCTCTAGAAACCTCCAACCCCGCCAGGAAATCCAGTAGTCTGAAAAGGCTGGCTCTGGGGCCATCAGCTGGTGAGCCCTGTTCTAGGGCTTGGAGGACTTGGCTAAGGGGTCACCTTTGGAAGAGGGCTGATCACTTGGTGTAGTAGATCCTGGAGAGGCCACAGGTGAGGAGGAAGCCAGTCCCCAGGTGAGCGCCCCTGAGCAGGGTGAGGACCAGAAAGAGAGGCACCCCTAGGAGCACGTTGGGAGGATGAGGTTCCTGTTTCTAGGCCTCAGCGCCCTGTCGACAGGACCCAGACTTCTTGCCACTTTGTGACTGTGAGGCTTAAACAGCCTGGGCTAGAAAGGAACTGCAGGGTTCGTCTGGACAGAAAGTGGGGTGGGATCTTGCAGGATCTTGCAGGAAGTGCTGCTTTAATTTTGGTAAAGAAAATACTGTATACCTATCTCTGCCTTTCCTTCCTGGACCGGAAGGCTCCAGACAGAAATGCGAGAAAACATAGAAAGAGGAAAAACGTGTTCCAGACTGAAAAAGTGCAAATCAACTCAGATGGAGAAAGAAAAATAGCAGCCTTGCAGTTTCTGGGGGTGTATGGCAGGGCAGCTACAACATTAAAAGGAAACCTTATTTCTTCCCTGGTCTTGCAATAGCTGTGAAATGCCATGCGGACCCCTCTTGGAGTGACTAATGATTTCTTACTAATGATATTCCAAACTAGCTTTGTTAGTCCCAGATAGTTACTGGGGATGCCCATGTTTCCTGTCCTTGCCCCAGAACTGCCCCGATCCCTAGTTAATACCCCACAGGAGGTGAGGAGCCCAAGTATGAGGATGGACACACTCCCTGGAGGGTCTCAGACACCTCTGACCAGCTGCCCTGATCTGGGACGTCACTAGCCCCTTTCCTGGGCTCCTGCTGCCTCTACACTGAGTCTGACCCAGGCTCTGCCCCACCCCCAGGGAAGATGCTCCACCCACCAGGACACACTCTGGCCCTGGGAAGACCCAGGCAGGGGAGCTGTCACTGTTTGTAATTTGAGCTCAAGTACCTGCCAGCTCTGCAGGAGGGCCTGATCTCAGAGGCTCCCGATCCACTGCTAGCCCAGGAGGGTCAGGATGGGATGGGTTCAGGCCAGCGGGAGAGGGATGGATGGTGTCAGGGCGGGAACAGACAGCAGCAGTGGGTGGTGCTGGGCTGTCTCTCCAGCTCCTTTCCTCCCTCCTCTTGTCAACTCATAGGCAATGTCCCACCTATGGACACTGTCTGTCTGCCCCACCGGGCGGAGCCACAGGGAAGGAGGATGTGCTTGCTAAGACTCTCTGTTTACTGGTCTCTGTGCTGCTTCTGTACCTGTCTTGCTTCACAGCAACCTCACAGAAGAATAAAAGTAAACCCTGAAAGTGAGAGGCTAGACTTCACGTCTCACAGAGGAGCAGACTGAGGGTCAGGAATCTAGACACTGTGACAGGGTCCCTTTCTCCAGCTCTATGCACTGGTTTCAATGTCCCTGGGCAGAAGAGGACAGTGTCAGGCCTGAAAGGCAAGAACAGCACCTCATGGCCACGTATTTCTGGCTCCAACTGATCCCCCTTCCAGTGATGGGAGACTCAGCGATGCTGTCAGAGCGGCTCCCCATTCACCCCATTAGGACAGGAATGAGGCTAATGAGGCCACCTGCCTCGTGTCGCTGAGTCAGGGCTGGGAAGTGGTGGGTCTGGGTGTCCTTCCTCGGGTGGGTGGGTGGCGGGTCAGGGGAGACAGGATGATGGCCTCTGTGTTGTTCCTCCAGTCCAGGGGTGTGAAACCGGCTCTCCTCCCTCTAACCGCTGCTCACAGCTCTCCCGTGGTTGTGTCCGGGACCGTTGACGGGGCGCATGGTTGTGTTTGGAGGAAAGGCTCAGGGGGAAAAGTGGGCCATGCCACCCCGTCTGGATCAGAGGTCTAACGGTCAACGTCTAAGGTTTTATCAGGGAGGCTGATCTGTACCAGCGCCTGCCATTGTCACAGACGGAAGTCTCACTCAACCACTCTTTCTGTGGATACGGAAGTGGGGCTCAGGCATCCGGCATTTTTTTAAGCAACACCAGAATCTTCCATGTGTTTGTTTAAAGGCATTTTGGGCTTATGGCGTAATGCTTTCACTTCTGTCATGGCTTGGGTGCTGCTGGTTAATTTGGGGCTGTTGTTGCTTAAACTGGTTTTGTTATTTAATTAGGGTTTTTAGCAAGAATATGATGAGCCCATATGTCCCTCTGCTGGCTGAACCTACACCTCCACTTGGAGCTCATTTTGAAGGATGGGAAGGCTTTAGCCCGATGAGGACCGGGTAGTGAGCCTTCCTGGAGGGGGACATGGTGCACGGACGGGGAGGGAAGCGTCACAATGGGGTCCGCAGAGAAGGGCTTGAGGGTCAGAGGTGGCCATGGAGGAGTAGACGGGTGAGATTCAGACCAACCTGGAACAGAGGTCAGCACACCACAGCCTGTGGGCTGCCTGGTTTTGCAAATGACATTTTGTTGGAAAGCAGCCATGTCATTAATCCATTTGCCATTGTCTATGGCTCATTAATGTCATTAATCCATTTGCCATTGTCTATGGCTCATTAATGTCATTAATCCATTTGCCATTGTCTATGGCTGATTTCACACTGCAGCAGCAGAGTTGCAACAGAGACCTCGTGTCTTGCAAAGCCTAAAATATTTACTCGCTGGCCTTTTACAAATAAGGTCTGTCCTTCTCTGACTTAGAATCTCATGTTGAGAAACTTGCAAATTATTCTTTGGATTCAGGAATTAGGGCAGTATTTTGACTATGATCAGCTCTGGGTTTTAGAAAATTCCCCAAATGCTATTATGTGATTTTACCTATGGCAGAACATAAAGGAAGCTGAAATTCTGGTAGGAGACAGGCAGCATCGGACGGGAAGGTTCGGAAGCGGACCGTGGCAGCGTTGGAGAGCAAGTCCGGGACGTGATCAGTGGTGGGGCTTTGAGCAGCCAGTGACTCTGACGTGTTGCTGGTACAGGTTATGTGACTGTCCACACTGGGCCTCTGAACCAAGCGTCACTCACTCCTTTCTGTCCGAGTGAGAAGTAACCAGTAGGCAGGACACTCACTATGCACCAGGACAGGTGTTTTCCATGTGCACCTCTATTTCATCCTTACAGCAGCCCTGTGAGACAGGACATCGTTCACCCATTTTACAGAGCAGGAAATTGAGACACAGAGGGGAAAGTAGCTCACCGGTTTCGTGCTCTTAGCAAATGAGAAAACACAGATTTGTTCCCAAGTCTCTCTGATAACAAGATCTAAGGTAATGTCAATGTAACAGGTAACTCACATGCAGTCTATAAAGTTATTTCATGTAGGGTGTTAAATCTCCAAGAGTCAGTCTTTGGCCTTTCCCATGGAGGATGTGGGTCTTCTCGCTCAGTCCAGTGCTCCTGCCACTTCCTCACTAGTTCTGATCTCTGAGTAGCAGCTGGAGGTGCCCTTTGAAGGATTCGTCCCAGGGAAGCTGAGGGAGGCAAACCACAGCTCCTCCTTCATCCCCACGGTGGAGGCGGCCCCCAGAGAGCTTGATGGGTCAGTGGAGCCATGGCACTTGGACATCTTCTGGTGTTCCTGTGGGAGAGGAGAGAAGGGGGACAGAGAAGGGCAGAGGGAGGGGGACCAGGAGAAGGCAGAGAGGGTCCATGAAATGAGTTTGATTCTGAGAGGACATTTATTCACTCTTCTATTCTTTCATCAAACTTTTTCTTACGGTCCCAGTTATTCAGTTAACGAACACACAGAGCACTTATTGATGGATTTCCAATTCTCCTGAACACTCACACAGACCCATGTGGAAAACACTATTATTTTACTCATTTTACAGACAGGGAAAGGAAGTCTCAGGGAAGTTAGGTACTTCCCAAGGTAGCACATTTATTGAACTGAACCCCAGAGCTCTCTGAGACCTCCCATGTGCTGGGAACTAAATCCACAGGCAGGGAGCAAAGCAGAGGTGGCCCTGTGACCTCCAGCACTGAAGGAGATGAAGACAGAAGCAGACTGGTAATAAACATGCAACTGCAAAATTTCGTACCATGCAGGTTAACAGTACAGAGTAGAAGAACAAAGGTCTTAACAGATCCAACCCTGTCCTGCGGAGCTCGCAGTGTGGTGAGGAAGCCGTGGGAACACAGTCACCACGAGAGGTGAAATGCCCTGTGGAAATCGACGCACATGATGTGATGGGAGACAGTGCAGACGCTGCCTGAACCAGCGGAGATGTAGAGCCCAACCATTTCCCGTTGCAGCCCCATTTATTGGCTCTAGATTCACTGCAACATTTGTCAAAGGAGTCCTTGGCCATCACAGTTTCCACAGCCTCTCCTCCCATTCTTTCTTGAACTCCCTCTAATTAAGAGATCTTCCCCCACCAGGCAAACATATCTGCTTTTGACAAGATCAGCTATAACACCACTTGATTAGGTTCAAACCGTCATTTCTCATATCTTATCTTGCTGGATGAATCAGCACATGAAACAAATGACCAGTTTCTGCTTCTTGAAGCCCCTTCTCCCCTTGGCCGCTAGGACCCGACCCTGCACCCTCCCCTTGGCCGCTAGGACCCGACCCTGCACCCTCCTGGTCATTCCTTCCTCCTGCACGGCCACTCCTTCTCAGGCTTCCTGCTGTTTCCAACTTATCTCCCTGATGCTAAAAGCTGGGAGGTCCCAAGGCTCTGTCTGTGGACCCCATCTCTCCTATGTGGGTTCATCCGCCTTCAGACCTTGAAGTGCACTGCCCACACAGCAAGGAGTCTCCTACGCAGACCCCTCTCCTGGACGCCACATTTTTGCCCTCTACTTGCCATCTCCATTTAGATGTCCCATAACACCTTCAAGTTTACAGTAACCAAAATGACATTTGATCCACTCTCGAAAATATACTCCTGCTACACAGTTGGCAGTTATAGTCATTGACGAATCCGTTCCTTAAATTTGAATTTTGGGCAACCACAGTCACATCGTCTCTGGTGTCTATGACATCTGTGGAGTCATCTTGGACATCCATGAACATCCATGACATCCCGGGACACCTGTGGAGCCACCTTTGACCTCTGTGATACCCATCAAGCGGAAGCCGTGAGCCATCTTTGCTCCTTTCTCCCGTGCACTGTCACTTCTAGCAAATACTGGTGGCTTCATCTTCAAGGTGTATCCAGAGCCCAAGCTCTCCACAGGAGATTCATCGTACTTGCCCGGGACTAAGTCTGTCATCTCTCTGATCTCTGTGTGTCCCTCCACCTGGTCTGTGCTCTCCTGCACGCCTTACAACACGCCCTCTCCCACTGCAGCATTGAAGTGAGTTCCAGTTCTCGTCACTCTTCTGTTTAAAACGTGTAAACGACTATGGTGGCCTGCAGGGCCCTGCAATATTTGCAGCCTCCAGTCTCTGCAAGTTCATTCCCTACCCACCGTCACTCAGTCCCCACCCCACACACAAGTCTGCTCTATCCACACTGTCCTAAGCTCTGTTTCTTTTGCATGTCAGACGCGCTCTGGTTCAAGGGCCCTGGCGTGCGCTGCCCTGTGTTTGGAGTCCTCAGTGACTCAGCTCTCACACTGTGCTCTTTCTTTTCTTGCAGATGTTTGCTCAAAGGCACCTCTGCAGCCCCCAGTTTCCCTCCTGTTCTCCCACTTCGTTTCCTGCCATAGCACTCACTTCCTGCCTGTGTCCTTTGTATTTGCACAACTCACTTGTTCACCATTTTCATCCCACTCCCCAATAAAGGTCAGAACTTGATAGCTGGGATATTTTACATTTGTAAAATATGTGTTCTCAAAAACACAGGAGTGGCACAAGCACCTAGAATGATTGGCAAGTGGCAGCAGATAGGTATTTGCAGAAGGAACAGGTGATTGCTGAGCCAGACCCTCACGGTGGTGTGCACTGTAGTGAGAGTTGAGTACATTCATGAAAGTCTTTGCTCGAAGGATGAGCAGGGTGTGGCAGGTGGAGGTAGTCACATGAGGAGTGGGGCCGGCTGAGCACTGACCCTGAGATGCAGAAAGTTTGCTCTGCTTGAGGTGGCTGAGAGGCGAGTGTGGGGCACAGCATTGACGGTGACCCTGGATTTCCTGCTCCAACTGCCAGACCGAGCTGTGTGGGTGCTCATGGTCCAGCAGTGTGGAGAAGCAGTGCATTGCATCTCCGGAGTGATGGGACAATGACCTGTGAGGGAGGGGACACTCATGGGCTGGGGAGGGAGGTGGGAGGTGGGGCTGCAGCAGGATGAGGAGTAAAACGGGGCTTGGCTCAGAGGGAGCGGGTGTGTGAGGCTGTGTTCAGGAGAAGCTCAGGCACACGTGTGGCACATGGCACAGGAAGATGAGACAGAGGACTGGGCTGCATGGGGCAGGTCTCAAGTTGGGCAATGGGGACAAGAGTGCCACCAGTGAGACGCGTAACCCAGCAAGAGGAGCGTATTTAGGGGTGCATTAACCGTGTGCTTCTGATGGTTTGGCAGCTGGGGTCTTGCTGACCCTACAGAAACTGCCTCTCCAGAAGATAGCGGGTATCTGGAAATGGCAGAGGACGCGCCAACCGCGCACCTTCCTGCGCAAACCAATCCAGCCAAAGCCCACACCACCAACCTGTGCAAACCAATCCAGCCAAAGCCCACACCACCTTCCTCTGCAAACCAATCCAGCCAAAGCCCACGCCACCAACCTGTGCAAACCAATCCAGCCAAAGCCCACACTACCTTCCTCTGCAAACCAATCCAGCCAAAGCCCACGCCACCAACCTGTGCAAACCAATCCAGCCAAAGCCCACACCACCTTCCTCTGCAAACCAATCCAGCCAAAGCCCACACTACCTTCCTCTGCAAACCAATCCAGCCAAAGCCCACACCACCTTCCTCTGCAAACCAATCCAGCCAAAGCCCACGCCAGCAACCTGTGCAAACCAATCCAGCCAAACCCAACACCACAGACCTGCACAAACCAATCCAGCCAAAGCCCACGCCACCCACCGGTCCTTCACGGAGCTGTTACACTGCAGGACACTGTTCCCCTGCTCTGACCACCAAAGAGCCAGGCACCAGACACCCAGAGACAGCCCCTAACCCCTTTGTGCCTCCAGAGGGGCTTTGTGACTCCAGAGGGGCTGGGCATGGGGTGGGCAGGGAGTTGGGTCCCTGAGCTTCCGGTCAGACCTGGGCAGCTCTCCTGGACCTGCCTGGCTGTGCCTCCTGAGGTCCCAACACCCAGAGCAGGGGATGTGTCTCTGAGCACCGCACAGCAACAGTTTGATGAGCACTACTCAGGGGCCTGGGAATTGTCCCTGCCCTGATGGTGCCGCCTCTCCAGCAAGGGGATGGGATGACGTTCTTGAAGGGAAGAGGCAGTGGAGACAGCACTGGTCTTTGGGCAGAGCTCAGAGCTATGGGCTGAGGGATTAACATTAGATAAAATGATGCCCCAAAGAGATTTTTCGGGCTATGAAACTATTCGTATATGATATTACTGAGGTGGATGCATGTCATGCATTTGTCAAAGCCCGTGGAATCCTCCATGCTAAGGGCCTGTGATGGGTAGAATGATGGGAGAAGGAACATACAACATCAAAGGTGAACCCTAACGCCAACTGTGGACTTCAGGTGACAATGATGTGTCCATGTAGGTTCACTGATCGTAACAAATGCCCCACTCTGGCAGGGAATATTGATAATGGGGAGGCTGCACATTGTCGGGGCAGAAGGAATACGGGAACTCTTCACCTTCCACTAAATTTTGCTGTGAACCTAAAACTGCTCTAACAAGTAGTCAATTTCAAAATGCCCCCAAGTTGTTCAGCGAAGGGAGGAATGAAGAACATCACTCGTGATACGAAGACAGGAAGTTGCTGGTCACTCTCCAGATGTCCGTAACCAAGAAACCTGATGGTGCTACCTGTGTGTCCAACTGCAGGCCTGTCCTGCAGCCATTTGACTCGGAAAGCCCAGCCATGGCCACAGCCAGCACAGACCCTACACCAGTAACAGCCCGACAGAGGCTACCTGGGCTGTCTCCTAGGGAGACACCAACTGGTGGGCTCTGTGGACCACCTGGGACAGGAAGAGAGCATTTCCCTCTTTAGTTGGGTGGGGGGGGGGGGGAGATGAGGGTAGGCACTGCTGCCCTGCCCTGGAAGCCAGAGAAATGCATGAGGGTCAGGGCTTGTGTCCTTCTAAGTCCCCTACTCAGCCAGGCCTCAAGATCACAGCTGCCAAGTGTCCCTGGCCCTGCCCCTGCTGTCTTCCCCACACCCTCAGAGACCAGGGTGTCCTGCCCAGCTCTCACAGGACACGTTGAGCTGGATGGTTCTCTCCGTGGTCACATCAGCTCCAGGAAACTTCACCTGGCAGGTGAGGCTGGTGCCGTGGTCCTGGGGCCGTGGGGTGAGAGTGAGCACGGAGGAGCGGGTGGTCCTGGGGCCCAGGGAGGCGGGGGCAGCCGACATCCAGGAGAAGATGGGGGGGCGTCCCCTGCTCACAGGCCCAGGGCACAGAGCAGGTCAGGGTGCTGGGGTGGCCGCACTCCAGGGTCTCCTGGAAGAGGATGTCGGGCGTGGGGGTCAGGGCTGGGGAGGAGAGGGGGACACGCAGGGTCAGGAGGGAGGGTCCGAGAGGACTCAGGCTCTGGTCCAGCTCCTCCCCCTGAGCCAGACAGGCTTCTCGCCCAGCCCCTCCCAGCACGGGGTCCCAGCCCAGCCCTGCCCTGTGGCCCCCACCACCTCCTCCCCTGTGGGTACCCCAGAAGCCCAAGGCTTACCCGTCACACCCACAGAGAGCTGGGGAGATTTGTAACTCCATTTCGTTGTTCCCCTCTCTACCCAAAAAAAGTATGACCCATTGTCCTTCCTCCGGGCATCTGTGATACTCAGGAGCAGCTGTTCCTCCCCGGATCCCCGAGGAGGTGGAATCGGCCCTGGGTCTCCTCCTGCACTTTTCGAGCTGGGTTGTTTGTGGCCACAGGAGCGTCCTGGGGTTCTTTGGCTCCTTCCCAGAACCAGTAGCCATAAACATAGTTGATTCCGTAGGGAGACTTTGGGGGATAAAGAAATATGCAAGGCACAAGGACACACAGATCCTCCTGCACCATCACTGACTCCTTCACTTTTAGTTGATATCTCAGATCCTGAGCCAGGGCCCCTGTGGGGAAACAGAGGTCAGCTTGGCTCAGCCCCCGCGGCCCGTCTCCCCGAGGCCACTCACGTGTCCACAGCAGGGGCAGCAGCAGTGGCAGCAGCATCTCTGCGGCGGACGGTTCCTGTGGTCCCTGTGCGAGCCGAGAAGGGGAAGGACAGTGGAGGGGAAGGGCAGCGGGACCCACGGGAAGCTGGGGAGCAAGTGAGACTCCAGAGTTTGGCAGAAGAGGAAGCTCAGACTCATGTGTGGCCGGAGCTTCTCGCCCTCTGTGCAGAGCAGACTGGAACCCAGGGCCAGAGATCCCGGCCACCAGCCCAGAGGGGAGCAGAGAAGGAGCAGAGGCTGCATCCTGTGTCCCATCCCGGAGCTTCTCTCTAGCACCAGGGCCTTGACAACGACCTCTGGGGACATCTGAGGAATGGGACACCCGTGAATGTCTAAGGTCCTCCTACTCTGAGATGCTTTTCTGGGCACCACCGTTTACATCAAGGAGCTGGTCACTGCTGGCCGTTCCCAGAGTCACAGCCTCATGTAGACCTGTGGGCCAGTTGGCCCTGGGTGATGTAGGATTCTGTAGGGCTTGTTGAGTGTCTGGGGTGAAGAAATGAAGAGGGCTTCTAGGTACAGTGAAGGTGGAAGCCATTCATTCATTCATTCATTCTCCAAACACATGGTGAGCATGCGTGTGTCTGTGGGGCTGGAGACAAAAAGAGCCACCACCGACCTGGTCCCTGCCCTTGACGTGCCCCCGTCCACAGCTCACGTCCTCACCATGTCCTCACACGCGCCCTCTGGCCTCAGAGCTGTGGACACTGGTGGGGTTGCCCTGTGTCATGGCAGCATATGTATTTTTAAGAAATATGGATATGGAATTTTTTTTCCCTAGCAGCCAGTGCCCTGATTTGCAAAGTCCCAGACACATCTCTGAAATAAGAACCGTGCAGCATCTTCATGTAAAATAATGGGAGAGCTCAGGTTCCATGGACCAGTGCAGAAGAAACTTTTTTTGTATTAATGCTGCAATTTGCTACAGTGTAGACAGGAGTGATTTTTTAAAGGGCATCATCATACTACAGATTAGCACTGCCTTTCTTGTAAAACTCTGCTTTCCACAGTCAAGTGTGGCTCATAAATAAGATGGTATTTCTTGACAATATGAATGGAACGTACAGAGGAAATTAAAATTGTAGGTTCAGCTCACATGATTTTCCATCTCACTCTATGCAGTATGCATCTAACAAATCCTTTATACCTAAGACATAATAGTATTTTCCAGAATATGGTGGTAAAACCTTGATACATAGTAGTGTCTCATTCATCCTTACTAATATAGAGAGCTATTTTTATCCTCACTTGATAGATAAGGAATTTAGTCTTCAATAAGTAAAATATACTTTTTAGTAAATTATTTTTAAGTGTTAGAAATGTAGAGCATAATATAAAATCCAGTATATTCAGTTTTAACCATAAAGTCCTATCATGTTCATGAACTGGAAGGTTAAATATGAAGATGTGAGCCTCATTATGTTTCTATAATGAACTTTATTAGATATAATTCACATGAAAATATATGTAAATATATATAAATTATATGTGCACCCACTTGAAGTGCATATTTCCATGAGATCTGACAAGTGTATACAGCCCTGTTATGACCACCACAGTCCAGATATATAATGTTTCCATCATGCCAAGGACTTTTCTGAACCGCTTTGCAGCTTACCTTTCTCACCTCCTGCACCAGGAAACTCCTGATTATTGTCTCTCGTGATGAATTAGTTTAGTCTATTTGAGAATTTTTTAACGATTTACTCACTTGTGTTTGGATTCTGTCACTCAGCATATTTTTGAAAGTGCACCAAGTTGTATGTGCCTGTAGTTAATCATGTGTTATTGCTAAGTAGTATTTCATTGTATGGGTGTACAATAGTCTTCTATTTATTCAGTATTGATAGACATTTGGGATTTTCCAGTTTTTGCTATAGGTATTCAAGTACAAGTCTTTTTTTACAGACATGTTTTTATCCTCATGAGTATACACAAGAAGAGGAATCCTTAGATCAAAGGCTGCCTGTATGTTTAACTTTAGTGGGAATTACCAACCTATTGTTCACATGGTTTGGACTTTTACCACTCCTCCCAGCCATGCCCCAGAATTCCAGTAGCTCCACAACCTCATCAACTCTTGCTATTGTCAGTCATTATATTTTATCATTTGTAGTGAGAATGTAGTGGCATTTCATATATTTTTTTTAATTTTAGTGCATTTTAATTTTAGGTACTGTCGATTTCGCTCTTTATCGATGGAGTACTATGTGGTCTGACAGGTGTACACAGCTATATACCCAGAGTCAGGATGCTGCAGAGTGCTGTTAGCCAAAACATCCCTGCTGCTGGCTCTTGGTGGTCAACCACCCTCCACACTCAATCTCTGAAAAAATGCTGATCACTTCTCCATCCCTGCTGATATGCCTTTCACAGAATATCATATAAGTGGAATCACTAAAAAATGCAGCCTAAATTCCGATTCATTCTCTTGGAATAATGCCTTCGAGGGTCATCCATGAGATCGAGTGTACGAATCATTAGTTTGTTCCTTTTTATTGATGACTAGTACTCTATTGTTTCCATAGATCCCCATTTTGTACACATTTAACAACGGAAGAACATTAATTTTGTGTCCAAGTTTAGGTGACGATGAAATAAATCTGCTATAAATATGCACACAGAGGTTTCTGTGTGTGAACACAAGTTTTTGTTTCTCTTTGGAAAATACCTAGGAGTCAGGTGTTTGTCTACAGGCTATGTGTAAGTTTATATTTATATGAAATTGCTAGAATTGGTGTGAAATAGTTTCTCACTGTGGTTGTTTCTTAATTGTTGTTTTTCCGTTGTACATGTCCAAGGCGTACAACTTGATGTTCGATATTGTGGTTTTGATTTGCATTTCCCTAGCGACTTGTGACGTTAAACATCTTCTCATATGCTTATCAGCCATTTGTGTATTTTTCTAGGAATGTCATGCACACCCTTTGTCCATTTTAAAAGTCTTTTGTGTTTTGGTTGCTGAGTGGCTGCTTTCTTTGTTTTTATGAAACTGGGTTTTTGTTATTGTTGTTGTTCATTGATTGTTTTATTTTGAGAGTCCTTGACATAGTCTGGATACAAGTCATTTATCAGATACCTGTTTCCACATATTTTCTCCCAATCTGTAACTTTTTCTTTGGCTGTCTTCACGATGTCTTTTACAGAGCGGCAGGCTCCCACTCCAGGCACATGTGTTGCACTGCATCCAGTCGTCCTTCTGACGTCCCCATTTGCATAGCAAGTGACACCTCAAAATTAACACTGCCCCTCAAATATCTCCTCCCTGCAGAACTGCATGGAACACAACTGCTTATTTCTAGGAGCTCAGGGGACAATTCTGGCATCATCTGTGTCTTCCCGTCCCCTCACTGACCACGCCCACCATCAGAAACCCTGTGAACTTGACCTTCCACACGTCCCAAATCACGTGCTCAGCCCAGCCCCGGCCCCCTGCTGCAGCCACCGTCCCTCCCCCTGATGGCCCCTTCCCAGTCTCCCTGACCAGGGCAGCCGAGGTCCTGTCACGGTGCAAGTGCAGTCCTGTCTCTGCTGTCCCCAAAGGCTCCGGGTTCCTGGGTGTCAGCCCCGTCCTCCCCCTGCTCCCCACTCCTGCCTCCTCTGCTGTCACACACGGGCCCCGGAGAGTCCCCAGCACCCGGCCTGCCGCTGCCTCTGAGCACTGCGCTCGCTGTTCCCTCTTCCCTCCTCCTGCGATGCTTTTCCTGACTCACGCGCAGAGCCTGACTCCTCACCGCCCTCACACTGTGCCCAGACACCACCTCCTCACACTGTCACACGGAAACTGTCCCCACTGTATCATGCTCTCCTTCTTATGCATTATTTTTCTCTAAAAGTATATTGTCATCAAACATGGTCAAATATTCTTTATTTATTCAATTTTATTCTTATCCTTCCAGTCTGCAGAACAACAGCTTATGATGACAGAGATTTGTGACACTGTATCTACTGGTGAACCCCCTGCATGTACAATAATGCTGGCACATAGTAGGTGATCAGTAATAGTTAACAAAAAAATCTATAAATGAATGAAGGGATGTCACCCTCCACTTTGTATCATACAACACACACACGCACACACACACACACACACACACCTGGATGGCAGTGGAGACGGGGCCTGCAGGTGACCAGGGCTGGCAGAGATAGGGGTGGGGAGGGAAGGGCGTTTCAGGAGGAGGAACTGCACATGCAAAGTGTCAGATTGCAGAGGACTTGGCCTAGTGGGTTGTGGGGAGACGTTGGGAGATGCAGGGAAAGGAGGGATAATGAGGACAGTCCGGCAGGGGACAGACCCTGCGAGGACCCAGTCCCGGCCGTGGCGTTTGCACCTCGTTCTCCAGCAATGGGGGAGGCACGGCCGTCCACACTGTGCGGGGCAGGATGAGGACACATCTGGAGGCCCAGTCTGGAGGCCTGTGCTGGGGAGAGAAGGAGGCGTGTGTGGAGAAAAGGGCACGGGATGAGCCGTGCTCAGGAGAAGGAGGGACAAGAGTGAGTGACTCATGGATGTGGGGGAGGGGGGTCAAGGTGAGGCACCTCACCCACTTTCTGGCTACAGAGATGGGGCCACTTGCCATCAGTGGGAGGGGTGGGTCCCAGCAGGAGAAACGAGTTTGAGGAGGAGCCAGGTGGCTCAGCCTTGGCCATACTGAACAGAGCAATCCTGGAGGACACCATGGGGGAGGTGTCCAGCGGGATGTTGAACGGTGAGATGCCCACGTCACTCACCTGAGGGATTAGCTCATGACAGTGTATACATTCTCCATGACTGCTGCCTGTGCCACATTCCTCCTGAGGGACCTCACCCTGCGTGAACAGACCAGGGCCTGTCAGCAGAGGCAGATCAGGGTGCAGAGGGCAGCAGCCTCACCTCCCTGGGCCCTGTCAGGGGCAGGAGGGGACTGAGGAGGAGAGAGCAGGTCTAGGCCCCAAGACCCCTCGATGACAGCAGGAACCTCCCCACCCCAGCATTAGGCCCACGGTTGGGACCCACACAGGCTTTGCACAAATGGCCTGGGTAGAGTCCTCACCAGCAAACCAGCCTCCCGCCTGGCTCTAGGCCCCTTAAACTGTTCGAGGACCCCAAGTATTGAGATTCCAGAATTCAGCATCATGTGCCCTGCCCTGCCCACCCGCCCCCTGGATCCCCGGGGCAGTGCTCACCTGAGGAAGATGAGGCAGCTGCAGAGGAGCAGGATCTTCACAGCCACCATCCCAGTGGCCACCAGACCCACCTGTGCCACGGGCCCCAACTGCCCAGCCGGAGAGTGCGATGAGGCAGCCTCACCTGGGAAACCACAGTCCCGTGTCCTTCCTCTCCCAGTGACCAACGCCCTGTTGGTTCCCCAGACCCTTATGTGTCCCTAGAGTGGGGCCACATCAGCCCAGACCTCACCCCAAACAACACCCTGACTATTAATATTTAGTGGCCAGACAGAGAAAAGATATCTAACTTGGACTTTATCAAAATGTAAGACTTTTATTCATCAATTGACACTATCAATAAAGTAAAGACCCATGGAATGGGAGAATATATTTGCAAGTCAGATATCTAATAAGAGTCAAGCAAGCAGCATATATAAAAAACACACTTCAAATTACAAACAACCCAAATAACCCAATTAACCAGTGAACAAATGACTTGGGTAAAAACTTCTCCAAAAAAAGATATAAATAATCAATATGTCCATGAAGCTATGCTCAACATCCTTCATCATTATGTTAATGCATACTGAAAATACAATGCAATACTGTTAAAATTCTCTTTAAAAAGGAAAATGAGAACGTTGGAAAGAATGTGGAGAATTTGCAATCTGCATACATTGCTGGTGAAATGCAAAATGGTGCCAACAACTGTGGAAAACACTCTGGCATTTCCTCAAAGAGTTAAACACAGAATGACAATATGAGCCAGCAATTCCGCTCCTAGGTATATGCCCAGGAGAAAGGGAAACATAGATATGAATGAAAATTTGTACAGGAATGTTCCCTGCAGCATTATTCATAATAGCCAGAAAGTATAAACAACCCTAATTTCCATCAACTGATAGATGATTGAGCAAAATGTGGTCTAGGCATAAAATATTATTTAGACTTAAGTGGAATGAAGTACCCACACATGCTACACTGATGAACCCTAATAACATTATGTTATGTGAAAGAAGACATAAGAAGCCTCATTTGGCACAATTCCACTTATAGAAAATGTCAGAATAAGCAAATCTATAGATGCAGAAACAGATACGGTGTTTGCCAGACAAGGGGAAGATGGGGGCAATGGAATTATGGGTACAGGCTTTCTTTTTAGGATGACGAAAATGTTCTGAATTAGACAGTGGGATGACAGCACAACTTTGCAAATGTGCTAAAAACCATGTTTATCATGCACTTTAAAATTATTAAAATGGTGAATTTAATGTTATGTGAATTTCATCTCAACTAAAAATATGCATAAATAAAAAATTATCTGAAGATACCGATTTTTACCTGATACTGGCAAAAATGAAAAGGTTTCATTCCACACTGGGTTGAGAAAAACACTCACTGTCACCGCTTGCTTTTGGGAATATAAATATGTTCACCCTTGGCTGAGAACAATTTAGCCGTATTTCTCAACATCGTAACATATGATCCAGCTATTTTGCTTTTAGGAAAATAAAAGTCTGCTGATCCCTCAGACTTAGCCATACACTTGTAGAAGGACACATGAGATTATCCATGGCAATGTTTCTCTTGCCAGAATAAAATTAATGCCATGATTTTCCATTTCAAAAAATGCATACAGAATTGGGATTGATCTGTTCAGTGGAACACCACACGGTCCCAGAGGGGAATGAAGACAGTCTGGCTACTGATGTCAAACCACATGTGACATCCTTCAGGTGCACAGACGAGGCTCAGAGCAGCTCGTACGGACACTGGCTGGTTCTGGAGAGGATGGGCAGGGCAGACTCCCAGTGCATTTTGAATTTTGCCTAGTTGACTGTATCATGTGTCCAGAAGTATGTAAAAGTACTGGGGGGAAATAAGAAGTAGAAGCTGGAGGAGTTGTCAGAAGACAGATCATACAGGGCCTCGAAGGATGGTTTTGCTTGCGAATGTTATCCTGTGATTGTTGGGGGCCAGAGGAGGGTGTGTGGAGGAGTCAGAGGGGAAGGAGGGGCTATGGGGGCTGATGCTCAGGGGGCCATAGGGCTCAGTATGGGGAGGTGCCACTTGGTGAATCAATTAGGAGGTCTCTGGTCATCAGGATGCGTCCAGGGTGAGAAGGACCTGGCCTACCCTGAGCTGGAAGAGGCCCTGCTTCCCACAGCCCAGGAAAGGGGCTCCATCCTGCCTGCCCCCGTGCCGTCTCCTAGGGTCTCACTGATCACTGGGTTCTTTGGAATATTAGGACAGGAAGAAGGATTTCCCTCTTAGATGACAGGGGTGTGAGGCATTCTTCTCCTACCCCAGAAGCCACTGAAATGTCTGAGCGACAGAGCTGTGTCCTTCTAAATCCCCTACTCAGCCAGGCCTCCGGGTCACAGCTGCCAAGTGTCCCTGGCCCTGCCCCCGCTGTCTTCCCCACACCCTCAGAGACCAGGGTGTCCTGCCCAACACTCACAGGACACGTTGAGCTGGATGGTTCTCTCCATGGTCACATCAGCTGCAGGGAACTTCACCTGGCAGGTGAGGCTGGTGCCGTGGTCCCGGGGCCGTGGGGTGAGAGTGAGCACCGAGGAGCGGGTGGTCCTGGGGCCCAGGGAGGTGGGGGCAGCTGACATCCAGGAGAAGATGGGGGGTGTGCCCTTCTCACAGGCCCAGGGCACAGAGCAGGTCAGGGTGCTGGGGCGGCCGCACTCCAGGGTCCCCGGGAGGAGGATGTCGGGCGTGTGGGTCAGGGCTGGGGAGGAGAGGGGGACATGCAGGGTCAGGAGGGAGGGTCCGAGGTGCGGCCTTGAGAGGACTTGGGCTCTGGTCCAGCTCCTCCCCTGACAGGCTTCACCCCCAGCCCCTCCCAGGATGGGGTCCCAGCCCTGCCCTGCCCTGCGGCTCCCGCCTCCTCCCCCTGTGGCTGCTCCTGGAGCCCAAACCTTACCGGTGACATGCACAGAGAGCTTGTTTTCTACGTAGCTCCACTTCATCCTTCCTCGCTCCACCTGAAAAAAGTACGACCCATTGTCCCTCCTCCTGGCGTCTCTGATGCTGAGGGAGCAGTTGTTCCTCCCCGGATCCCCCAGGAGGTGGAATCGGCCCTGGGTCTCCTCCTGCACTTTCCTAGCTGGGTCGTTTGTGGCCACTGGAGCGTCCCGGTGTATATCAGCCCCTTCCCAGAACCAGGAGCCACGAGCTGGGGCAGAGTCAGTCCGGCCGTACTGGAGGTAGGAGACCGAGCAGGGCACAGAGACGCACAGGCCCTCCTGCACCGCCACCGACTCGGGCGCCTCCAGCCGGAGTCTCGCATCCTGAGCCAGGGCCCCTGTGGGGAAACAAGGGTCAGCCCGGGCCCCTGTGGGGAAACAAGGGTCAGCCAGGGCCAGCCCCGCGGCCCCTCGCCCCGTGGCCACTCACCTGCGCACAGCACGAGCAGCAGCAGGCGCGGCAGCATCTCTGAGGCGGAGGGTTCCCGGGCTGTCTGTGCCCGCAGAGAAGGGGAAGGCAGGCGCTGCTGGACCTGCGTGTAGCTGCGGAGGAGCACAAGACCTCGGCGGTTCAAAGAAGAGGAAACTCAGACCACAAGTGGTCAGAGCTCATGACCTGTGCACAGAGCTACGGAAACCCCGGGTCCCAGAGACCCCAGAGACCCGCCCAGGAAGGAACGGAGAAGCAGCACAATCTGTGTCCTGCCTCCCGTCTTGGGAGCTTCCCTCGAGCACCAGAGCAGAACCTGGACCAGGACCTCTGGGGACATCTGCGGCGAGGGGCACCCGTGAGGGTCTGAGGTCCTCCACCCCACGGTGCTTTTCTGTGCGCCAGTTTACACCAGGGAGCTGGTCCCTCCTGGCCCGGTCCCAGAGTCCCAGCCTCCTCTAGTCCCATGGAGCGGTGGGTTCTGCAGGATGTGGGATTCTGTAGGGCCTGTGTGAGTGTCTGGGGTGAAGAAATGAAGAGGGTTCCTAGGAACAGTGAAGGTGAAAGCCATTCATTCATTCATTCATTCCCCACACAGTAAGCATGCGTGTGTCTGTGGGGCTGGAGACAAAAAGAAACACCACCGACCTGGTCCCTGCCCCTGAGGTGCCCCCATCCACAGCCTCATCCACAGCTCACGTCCTCACCACACACGTGGCGTCTGGCCTCAGGGCTGGGGACACTGGTGGGGCTGCCCCGTGTCGTGGCAGCACGGTGTTCTGTAAGAAATGTGCATGTGGAGTTTTTCCACGGCCTCCGGTGCACTGATTTGCAAAGTCTCACTGGCATCTCCAAAGTGAGAACCAGGCAGCAAGTTCAGGCAAAACAAAAGGGCGATCACAGGTTCGCAGAAGAAACTTCTTCCCCATTAATGCTTCACTTCCCTGTAGCGTAGAAAGGAGGTATTTTTGTAGTGGCATCTTATGATTTTTAGATTTTTAATTCATTTAAGGTTAGATGCCACTGAATTCACTTTTCATCGTATACAATTCTGTGAGGTTTGACAGATATTCACAGCTATATACTCACAAGCACAGCTGAGACACTGACAAGTGTGGTTACCCAAAACATTCCCTCCTGCCGTGCCTTGGTAGTCAAACCCTCCCTCCACACTTCGTCTCTGAAAAAAATGCTGATGTCTTCTCCCCTCCCTATTTATATGGCTTTTACTGAGTGCTGTATAAATGAGGTCATACACAGTGTAGCTTTTAATTTCTGGATTCACTCACTCAGCATATGCAACTGAGGGTCATCCTTGCCATTGGGCATATGTATCAATACTTTGTTTCCTTTAACTACTGACTGGTATGGTAAGGTTTCAATGGACCCCGTTTTGTGTACATTTACCAGCTGGGAACACTTGGATTCTTTCCAGGTACTGGTGAGTATGAAATAAAGCTGCTATAAATAATCACATGCAGATTTCTGAGTGTGAGAACATAGGTTTTCATTTCTCTTGGGCAAATACCTGGGAGTGAGGCTGCTCGGTCATATGGTAAGTGTAAGCTTAAATTTACATGAAATTGCCAAATCGTTCTCCAAAGTGCGGGCATTATTTTGTATTCCCGCCAAGCAACAGATATAAATTCCGGTTACTTCACATCTTCATTAGCATTTGATATTATAAGGATTTTAAAAAATTTCTTTTTGTTCATTTTTTCTTCTTTAGCCATTCTGGTAGGTAGGAACTGCTACCTTATTCTGGTTCTAATCAGTAATTTCATAATAGCAAATAATGTTGAAAATGTCTTCGTGTGATTTTTGCTATCCATCTTTCTTCTTTGGTGAGGTGGCTGATAAAATCTTTGGCTGCTTTTTTAATTTATAGGAAAATATACATGACAAAAAATTTACCATTTTAACCATTTTTGAGTATACAGGTGAGTGGCATTAAGTACATTCACATTGCTATGCAACCATCACCACCATTGGTCTCCAGAAATTTCTTCATCTTCCCAAAGTGAACCTCTGTACCGTTAAATGATAATTCCCTGTTCCATCCTGACCCCAGCCCATAGCAACCAGCCTTCTACTGTCTTTGTCTATGAATGTGCCTATTCTAGATCCTCAGAAAAGTGGAATCATACACTGTTTGTACTTTTGTGAATGGCTAATTTTGTTTAGCTAATGTCTTCAAGGTTCATGTATGTTTCAACATGTGTCAAAATTTCCTTCCTTCTTAAGGTTCAATAATATAACATAACACATTTTTTGATTATGCATTCATCTGTAGATGGACACTTGGGTTGCTTCTACATTTTAGCTATGTTGAATAATGCTATTTTGACATGGGTGCATGAGAATCTGCACAAGTCGCTGCTTTCCTTCCTTTTGGGTCTATACCTAGAAATGGAGTTTCTGGATGATATCATCATTCTACTTTTAATTTTTTGAAGGACCACCGTACTGTTTTCTGTAGCAGGTGCACTATTTTCTGTTCTTACCAGCAACTCACAAGAGTTCTAATTTCTCCATATCCTTGTCAACACTTGTCATTTATTAGTTTTTATGGTATCTGTACTAATGGATGTGAAATGTTCTCTCTTGTTTTTGTTTATTGCATATATTTAAGGTTTATAGCATGATGTTTTGATATTAGGCATTTGATTAGCATTTCCCTAATGACTAGAGCTGGTGAGCATCTTTTCAGGTGCTTATTGGCCATCTGTACATATTTGAGGAAATAGCTATTCAAGTCCTTTGCTCATTTTTAAATAGGGTTGTTTGTTTTATGTCGTTGAGTGCCTACTTTTGGTAAAAATCATAAAAACAGGTTTGTTTAGCTTGCTTACTTAATGTTTTGTTTGGAGAGTCCTGAATATATTCTGGATACAAGTCTTTTGTCACATATTTTCAGTATTTTCTTTTCGTCTGTAACTTTTCTTTTCACTCTCTTTACAGTGTCTTTTACAGAACAGCCAGCCTCTGTCCCCCAAAACAGGTGTTACTCATGAGGTGACCCACCAGTGTCTCAGGACATGGAGGCCGAGTAGTGGCCACCTAAAGAAACCCAGGTCTTAGTTCCTAGAACTCATTGGTACTACCTTATAAGTAAAAGGGTCTTTGCAGATGTGATTAAGTTAGGGATTTTGACCAGTGGGAATTATCCTGAATAATCTAGTTAATGGTTCAATCTAATCCCATGTGTCCTGCTAAGAGAGAAGCAAATAGACATTTGATTCCAGAAAAGGGGGTGAGACCATGTGACCAGAGAAGCAGAGATTGGAGTGATGCGGCCAGAAGTCAAGGAATGCACCAGCTTTAACAATCTGGAAGAAAAAGAATAAGATTTATGACTTGGATCTCTGGAAGGAATGCAACCCTACCAACACCTTCATTTCAGCTTCAGTAACTAATTTCAGATTTCTAGCCTTCAGAGCTGTGAGACAATAAATTTCTTTTTTTGTTGTTGTCATTTTAAGATATCAGCTTGTGGTAATTTGTCACAGTGTATATAGGAGAGTAATACAGGGAGGAATTCATTGAGCACCTCTGGGAGATTGCAGGGAAGAAACTGAGAAAAGCCCTCCTCCTCCACGTCCATTCTCTGGTCCTCTTTGCAGCAAAACTCCTTAAGGGCTTGTTTGTACTCACTCTTCTCACCTCCGTTTCTCTGATTCTTTTTCAAACTTGCTCCAGTCAAGTGCTACCATTTCACAAACTTCCATGAAAATTGCTTTGTCAATCATCTCACACTATATACAACATCAACTCAGAATAGATTAAAGAGTAAAATCACAAAGCCTGAAATTGTAAAACTCCTAGAAGAGAACAGAGGGAATGAAGTTTCTTTATGTGATCTGGGCAAAACCTTTTTGGGACATGACTCCAAAAGAACAATCAACCAAAGCAAAAAATAGACAAGTGGATTTTCATCAATCTAAAAAAGGTTCTGCACCACAAAGGAAGCAACTAACAGAGTGAACAGACTACCTATGGAAGGGGTGAAAGTATCTGCCTCTATACATCTGGTAAGGGGTTAATGTCCAGAATATATAAGAAACTGAAACAACTCAATAGCAGGAAACAAATAACCTAATTATAAAAGGAAGCAAATGACTTGAATAGACAGTTCTCCAAAGAACATATACAAATAGTCGACAGGCATGGAAAACCAGCTCAACATTACTGATCATCAGGAAAATGCAAATCAAAACCACAAGGAGATATCTCTTCACACCTGTTAGAATGACTATCACCAAGAGGACAGAAGACATCACATGTTGTCAAGAGAGCACCAATAACAAATGTGTGTCCCTTCTCCATCTGCAATCACATCTTTCTCACCTCATCTGTTGTTGTCACTTCCCACCAGCTGTGCACTGTCACCTGTCCAGCCTGGATCCTTCTCCTGAGCTCCAGACATCTGTATGCAGCTGTCTCCCTCCAACCCCATGCGATGTCAAGTGGAGTCCCCAAATCCCTGCTCCTGTGTGGACACTGCTCCTTCCTTGCAGGTGCTCAGGGGAAGATTCTGGCACCATCTTTGCTCCTCCTGTCCCCTCACTGGCCACACCCACTGGCAAACCCTGTCAGCTTGACCTTCAACACACTTGGAAAAGTACATGCTCAGCCCAGCCCCGCCTCCCTGCTTCAGCCACCATCCCTCCCCATGGAGGGTCCCGTGATGCCTTCCCTGACCAGGGTCCTGTCACAGTGCAAGTGCAGTCCTGTCTCTGCTGTCCCCAAAGGCTCCGGGTTCCTGGTGTGTCAGCCCCGTCCTCCCCACTGCTCTCTCCTCCTGCCGCCTCTGCTCTCACACACAGGCCTCCCGGAGAGTCCCCAGCACCCGGCCTGCCGCTGCCTCTGAGCACTGAGCTCGCTGTTCCCTCTTTGCTCCTCCTGCAACTCTTTTCCTGACTCACACGCAGAGCCTGACTCCTCACCGCCCTCATGCCTGTGCCCACACATCACCTCCTCACACTGTCCAACACAGAACCTGTCCCCAAAATGCCACATGCTCCTTTTTCAGTGTGATTTTTCTCCAAAGGCATATCACAATCCCACATACTCTTATTTTGTTTATTTATTTTTTCCTTCTTTTCTCCTGAATGCCAATGTCTTCTTTACCTCTATTATTGTGGGAATGTATAAGTTGCTTAAAATTGGTCATTTTTAAGATTTCATAGGATTCAGTGGCATCAAGCACATTCTCAGTATTGTGCACTATGACCACTATCGATTTCCTGAGCTTTCTCATCATCCCAAACTGACACTCAGCACCAGTTGCACAATCGCTCCTGTCCCCGCCCTGTCCCCAGCTGCTGGCAACCGCCGTTCTACTTCCTGTCTCGATTAATTTGCCTATTCTAGGCAGGTCACATAAGCAGAATCACACAACATTTGGCCTTTTGTGTCTGGCCTACCATATCATTCCACTTACCATATTGTTTCAGAGTTCATCCCTACAGAAGTCTGCTCCTCCCTGTGTAAGGCTCGAGACTATCTCGTGGGCTGTGTGCACCACCTTGTGTTTCTCCCTTCATCCGCCAGGGGACACGGGCTGTTGGCATCACTTAACTGTTGTGAGTAACGCTGCTGCGAACACCGGCTTAGCTATAACAGCTGAAGTCCACACTCTCAGTTCCTTTAAGAATATGTCTAGGAGTGGATAGCTGGTCACTTGGAAATTCTATGTTTAACTTTTGGAGGAAATACCAAGGGGGGTTTCTGCAGAATTACAGCATTTTACATGCAATGCAAAAGGATTCCAATTTCTCCACAACAGTGCAAATATTTATTATATTCTTCTTTTTAAATAACAGCTATCTTAATGGGTGTGAAGTCGCATCTCATTTGTAATTTTGATTTGTATTTTCCAAATGACTATGGTGTTGACATCCTTCCATGTGCTCATTGGCTTCTTGTACCTCCTCTTTGGAAGCGCGACTGTTCAAGGCTTTGGATGTTGTTGAAGTTATATTCACCGATGCGACTCTCGCACTGTGACAGTCTTGGCACGTAGTAGGTGTTCAATAATTCCTCCTGAATGAGTCTATGAATGGCTGAAGGACTGAGTGTCCCTCTGCCATGCAAAAGCACACAAGGAACACACACTACCCTGAGTGACATTTAAGGCTGAGCCTGAAGGATGAGCAGGACGTACAGGCAGAAACGGGGAGGGAAGGGTGTTTCAGGAGGAGGAACTGCACATGCAAAGTGTCAGATCGCAGAGGTTGGCCCAGGGGTTGTGGGGACACGTGGGGAGACGCAGGGAAGGGAGGGATCAGGAGGACAGTCCGGCAGGGGACAGACCCTGCGAGGCCCCAGTCCCAGCCGTGGCGTTTGCACCTCGTTCTCCAGCAATGGGGGAGGCACGGCCGTCCACACTGCGCGGGGCTGGATGAGGACGCATCTGGAGACCCAGTCTGGAGGCCTGTGCTGGGGAGAGACGGAGGCAGGGGTGGGGTGGACTCAGGGAGCAGGGAGAGGTGAGGCCGCCGGAATGACCAGGCCCAGGGTGGGGAAAAGGACACCAGGATGAGCCAAGCTCAGGAGAAGGAGGGACAAGAGTGAGTGACTCACAGGGTATAGGGGAGGAGGGTCAAGGTGGGGAACCTCATCCTGGATCTGCACACAGAGACTCAGCCAGCCAGTCATCGGCGGGACAGGGGTTCCAACAAGACAAGGGGGCTTGGGGAGGAGATGGGCGGTTCAGCCTTGGCCATGCTGAGCAGAGCGACCCTGGAGGCCATCACAGGGTAGGTGTCCAGTGGGTTGTGGCAGGGTGAGATGCTGAATTACTCAGCTGAGGGATTAGCCCGTGACAATGTCTACATCCTCCATGGACCCTGCTGTCCGGTCCGCCTTCCCCCTGCGGGACCTCACTCTGAGGGAACAGACCAGGGCCTGTCATGGGGCAGGACAAGGGTGCAGAGGGCAGCAGCCTCACCTCCCTGGGCCCTGTCAGGGGCAGGAGGGGACTGAGGAAGAGAGAGCAGGTCTAGCCCCTAAGGCTCCCTCGATGACAGCAGGAACCTCCCTCCCTGGACCCTTGTCCAGAGCTGGGGACAGACACACTGGCCGCGTGGGATCTCACCACCCGCTCAGCCCCTGCTGGCCCAGGCCCTGTCCCCTTTCTGGTCCCTCTAGCACAGGGCGTGGGGATCAGGATGGTGTCACCAGCCCTCCCACCCCTCCCCTTGTCCCTGGGGCGGCGCTCACCTGAGGAAGATGAGGCAGAGGCAGAGAAGCAGGATCTTCACAGCAGATCCCACGATGGCCACCAGACCCACCTCTGCCACGGGCCCCGGTTTCCCTGAGGACAGTGGGGTGAGCCGGCATCCCCTCTAAACCACAGTCCTCGTCCTTCCTCCCTTACTGGGACTCGGCTGTGGGCTCTCCCGGCCTCGCTGTGTCCCTGGGTGTGGGGTCACCTCAGCACAGGGCTGACCCGCCCTGCCCAGACGGACCACAGCAGGCGGAGGGCTCTGGCCTCGGGGACTCTCTGGGCGCACAGCTGAGTGTGACCCTGAGTGGGGCACAGCCCTCTGACTCCACTGAGTCCAGGGGCTGCTTGCTCGGTGACCCGGGGGCTGTGGGCCATGGCTGGGGTCTGGTGTGCAGCCCCTGACACTCACGCTGCAGGGAGAGGCTCAGGGAGACGTGCTGGGAGCCCAGAGGGATCTGAGCTCGGCAGATGAATTCTCCTTCATCCCTGAGGTGCACTCGAGGCAGCTCCAGCAAAAGAGGTCCCGAGGGTTGTGAGGGGTACAGGGTCAGGCTTTCACGGGTCCAGCTCAGCCTGGCAGGAGGGTTGCTGCTGACAGCACAGAGCAGACTCAGGGACTGGCCCTCTAGGACTGACAGAGATGAGCCATTCTCCAGGACAGTGGGTGCTATAGAGAAAGAGACAGAGGGTCAGAGTGACAAATCTGTTGAGGAAAAGAGGAATGTAGAAAGAGATCGGGAAGAGCGAAAGACTCAGACATGTGGACGTAGACTGAGAGAAACAGACTCTGCGAGATGGACCCAGAGAGAGACGGAGCACGAGCCTCGAGCCTGGCTCCAGCCCCAGTTTCTCTGTGCCGGGCGATGTCGATTCTCCTCTGCACAGATGGGTCCTGTTGGGCTGGACTGTGGCCCCAGAAGTCACAGAGGAAGGGGCTCGGGCTCACAGGACACCAGATATGACGTCAGCTCAGGCCCATGTTCCAGGCTCTCTTCACTGCTCTCGCTGACGGCTCAGAATCCAGGTTAACCCGAAGAGTTCCTTGATCTCAATCTCCAGCCCTTCCCGCATGACCAGTGGTTCACTGAGTTAAATTGTTGTGCTCTAAAGTGGGGCTCACTCCAGAAATTCAGAGTCTGGGGGAGCCCAAGGGCTTAGAACCCCAGCTGCCCCCCAAAGGTCACATGACTCGTAGTGGAGGGACCCTCCAGGCTGTACCAGCCCCTGGACAATGTAAATGAGAAGACCCCAAATGCTGTGGGCCAGGAGGGCTTCCTGGGGGAGGCACACCTACTTGGCACCTGGAGGAGGGTGTGAAGGACCAGCAGGCGGCTAGAGGATGAGGGGGAAGGGAGTTCCAGGCAGCAGGAACAGACAGTGCAAAGATGACCAGGGCCTGAGCCAGTTCAGGAAAATGTGAATAGACCTGGGGGTCTGGGGTTGGACGTAGGGTGGAGCAGGGGGTGGAGTCCAGAGACAGGACACAGGAGGAAAGCAGGGAGATTTGTTTTCATAACCTCAGAGTGTGGAACCAATGGCATTGATAAATGTAGCTACAAAATAATTAGGTTCCTGTACGGTGTGAAAATCATAGACATCCAAGGACAAAGCCACCCGGCGTATTGGGAAATGTATTTACAAAACATCTCAGGCACAAATACTGACTTCTCAATCTGAAAAAGAACTTCAAAGAATCAATAATTAAGATCAAGCCACTCTGGAAATCTGAACAAAGACTATGTACAGACAGTTCTCAGAATAAAAGAAATACAGATGTCTTTTGTGACAGAAAAAGTTGCACAACTTTAGTCATAATAAAGGAAATGCTCCTTAAAGCTCCATGGAGTTTCCAACTGTCACCTGCTATTGGCAGAGACCAAAAGGTCCCAGCACACTGGGTGGTGAGGCTGGGGCGACACTCGCACATCCACTCCTCCCTGCTGGAAATCTAAACTCCTGTATCCTGGATGGGGAAGAACTTGGGGGTGTTTCTTAGCTCTTTTGCATTTGGACAGTCATCCCACAGAGACACAAAGCCATTTGTGAAAGGAGGTACAGGATTATTCGTGGTAGCCTTTATGTTGATAGAATAAAATTAGTGCCTTGAGGTTTCACTTAAATAAAGTGTGTCTAAAACCAGAGTCCACCCATGCAGGGGGACACCACACAGCCCCACAGGAGCACGGGGACAGTCTGCACGACTGACGTCAAACCACCTCCGAGGTCCTGCAGGTGAACAGACCAAGGCTCGGAGCAGCCAGTGTGGACCCTGGTGGGTTCTGGGGTGGGGACGGGACTCTGAGGACTCACCCTGCTGTGCACTTGGAATTGTCACCCATGAGACCGTGTCACCCACCCAGAGGTACATGAACTATTGGGGGCCAGTTCTGCTGTGAGTGTCGCCCTGCCTTGTTGTGGGCTGAGGGGGTGTGCAGGTGTCTTAGGGGAGGGAAGTTCATGGGGTCACCAGCAAGGAGGTCTCAGGTCACCAGGTGAGTCCAGCGTGAGGAGGACGCACCTGCCCTGATGAAAGAGACCCAGCTCCGCGGCCCAGGGAGGGCCCCGTCCTACCTGAGCCGTCTCCTCGGAGGACAGTCACGGTCAAGTTCTGAGGAGAGTCTGGGGCAGAGAGACACAGCAGCCCCAAGTCACTGCTGAGGGCTGGGTGGATGCTGGTCTCTGTCCCCAGGAGCCACGTCAGGGTGGTGCATAGAGCCAGCATCCTCCTGTCCCTCCCCCCTGGACCCCAGGTCTGAGCAGTCCTGACCCCATCCTGCTGCCCTGGGGACCCCAGCAGGACCCCAGGATTCCCAGCCCAGCTCTCACAGGACACGTTGAGGTGGACGGTCCTTGTTCTTGTCACACCATCCTCAGGCAAGGTCACCTGGCAGGTGAGGCTGGTGCCGTGGTCCTGGGGCTGAGGGGTGATTGTGAGCACCGAGGAACAGCCAGTGGTGCGTTGCCGAAGCGACACAGAGGCCCCCACCCAGGAGAAGATGAGGGGAGTCTGATGCTGGCAGGAACAGGGCACAGAGCAGCTCAGCTTGCTGGGGCGGCCGCACTCCAGGGCCCCCGGGAGGAGGATGTCCGGCATCAGGGCTGCAGAGAAGACGGGGACATGCAGTGTCAGGAGGGTCGGAGATCAGGCCCTGAGAGGACTCAGGCTCTGGTCCAGCTCCTCCCCTGAGCCCGACAGACTTCACCCCCAGCCCCTCCCAGACCAGGGGTCCAAGCCCAGCCCTGTCCTGTAACCCCCACCACCTCCCCTATGGGCACCCCCGGAGCTTGAGCCTTACCCGTCACATGCACAGAGAGCTTGTTTTGTGCATAGCTCCATTTCAACCTTCCTCGCTCCATCCGAAAAAAGTATGAGCCCTGGTCCCTCCTTATGGTGTCTCTGATGCTCAGGGAGCAGTTGTTGCTCCTGGGATCCCCGAGGAGGAGGAATCGGCCCTGGGTCTCCTCCTGCGCTGTCCTAGCTAGGTTGTTTGTGGCCACGGGAGCACCATGGAATGCATCGGCCCCTTCCCGGAACCAGTAGCCATGAACAGGGTCAGAGTCAGTCCAGCCACTTGAGGGATAGGAGAAGGAGCAGGGCACACGGACACACATGCCCTCCTGCACCGTCACCACACTCTGCACTTGCAGCCTGTAACCTCCCCTGTCCCCTCCCCATCCCTCCACCCCCGCCGTCCCCGTCCCCCAGAGCAGGGCCAGCAGCAGCAGCATGTCTGGGCACAGGTGCCAGGGCCGCCAGGGACAGTCTGCTCCTCCGGGTTCTTCTCTCTGGAACTGAGAGCTGCAGGACTTAGAGGAGGCCCCACAGGAAGACGGGAGCGAGGTCAGAACTGTGACCCTCCTCAGAGAGGAACTTCACACCCTGACACTGTCAGGGCCAGGGCAGGACTCCCAGATCAATTGTCACCACCCACGTCCACTCCTGGGGAGCCTGTGCATAGAAAGGGCTAGATTCACCCAAGTTCCCACCCCATGAAGAGCCAAAGCATATCTCCTGCTTCCCTGACAACACCCTTCCCTTTGGTGTACCTTTCCTTGAAGGTGACAATAGGTCCCACCTGGCCAGACCTTGAATCACAGGATATGGGTGATTGTGGCAGTCAGGGGTGGGGTTCAGGGACATGGTGTTGGGGGAGGACCAGGCGGGGTGGCATCAGCCTCCTCCCCACTCAGCAACCACGCGTGGCCGTCCCCTCTCTGCACAGCAGACCCGGATCCTGTCCTCATGGAGTCACCGTCCAGGGGGAGACAGTGAATCTCCTGACCTCTGCGCTCCCTGTGACAGTAGGTTCCCGGGTGACACAGAGGCAGGGTGGGGGTGGCTCCCCCTGGGCTGGAGGTGCAGCGTCAGGAGGACTGAGCACAGGCACATGGGGGTCACGGTGAGGATTCCACAAGGGACCAGAAGGGAGCCCGGCTCACGGGAGTCCTGAGAACCTGAGGCTGCCATTGTTGTTCAGTGCGATTTTACAAGAGAGAAAGTGAGAAAGGGAAGGGAACAATTTTACAAGGGTAGAAACTTCTCTTTTTGTCAACACATTCTGGACA